AAAAAAATGTACATGATTGACTGGTTAAAGCAGTCAAAGGGTATAACAAGCAGCCGCCACACACTGAAAGAACCTCTCTCACACACACACATCCTCCATAAGGAGACATACAAATGGAAAACCATGTAGTAATAGTAGTGTGTGCAAGTGGAATAAGAGCTCAAATTAAAGCTGAATGTCTGACCCCAAACAAATCGGTTCAGGTTAATGGATATAACTTCATGGCTACTGAAACATGAACAGAAATCCTGAGGATGAACCCTTCCCTTCCTGAAAAGTACTCCTGTGTATTTACAGACATGTCTTTTCATTACAAAAGGGAGTGATCATATGGGCTCTCTACAAAGCTCTTCACTTTTAGCCCCTACCATCTGTACCTACTAGCCAAATCATGTGTTAACCTGTAAGCTTTAGTTTTAGGCCAAATTTAATGTCATGACAGTGTTTTTTTGCTTTTAATATTTGGTCACAAAAATAACCCTCTCATGTTTAGGTCATGTCCTTACACAATGACCTCAAAGGAGTGTTTGGTTAGTTGAAAATCTAAACTGTCTAGCTACAACTATGGCTGCAATTTACCATTCAAATATGTAGTTCTTCTTTGTTGGTGCTGTTCAAATTTCTATCAGAATAAATTTAATATAAGACTATAAAATAGAGCAGCTGGTTGATATACAAGATGATAGAAGAGAGCATGAAGATATGAATGTTTCTAGGTAGTAAGCGTGGGTCAGTAGAGGTCACTAAGCCCAGCAGTCTTGCGGGCTTTTTGCATAAGAGCACGAAGCTGGAACTGCTTCCTGGACAGAAGACGTACATGCTATAACAGAAAAAAAAAAGAGGCAGGTAGGTTAAAGTGTCTGTATACTTGTTTGTGTTTATATGTGCTAGCAGCTATCTAGATCTGGTTACCTTGAGAAAAACTTCCAGGTCTATGACACCCCTGCGGAGGGCTTCGCCCAGGTAGAAGATTGTGTCTTCAATTGCATTCTCTTCAGCGTACAGGTTCAGGATCTGTTTGTACAATGGCGCTGTGGGCACAATGACGTCATCAATGTCATTATTCTCCGACTGGTTTTCCATTTTCTCCAAGGCCTCGCTCAGCTCCTCGTCTTTTCTCTTCAGCAGATCGATGTTCCTGTCAACTTCAGTCTAGTGGAAACATCGTGATGATTGCACATATTTAGCAAATCTCAAAAATGACTGCTGTAACAGTTAACTGTGGTGAATAGAGAACAAAACAAACGGAAAGATTTAACACTGAAAGTATGATCATCTCTCACCACTTCCTGGTCCAGTCTTGAGATCATCTCTTCCAGTTTCTGATGTCCTTTCTTCAGGTCCTCTTCTGTTCGCTTCAGTGCATCCAACTCTGCCTGAGCTCTGTCCATCTCCTCCTTCATTCTCCAGCGAAGCTTGTCACTCACTGCAGAAATTAGAGATGCCCGGATGGTGTCCTCGCCAATGGTGCCATCTCTGTTTGGGCCTTAAGAGGAAGAGATTATAATAAGTCATCTGAGACAGTGAATACAAACAGGAGAGCCAGATGGGAAAAAAGATACAACTACAACTTAAACCATAATCTCACCAAAATATAATTATATTTGATTTTCAGTCTCTTTTACACATACCATGTCCTATGTAAAAGGGCCTTTACTGTAAATTGGCAAGCTAACCATCTTCAGATAACTGTAAAAATGATAATTTAAATCATAATTCTGTGGAGGCTTTTCTTCCACAGAGAAACTGTGCCACCCTAAGGTGAGGATGTTTGACTAAACCATAACAGACATTTTTTTCAGGTTCTTGGTGGAGGCAAGAGGAAAATGCACAGATTTCTGTCAAATATGGTAACATGGACTTGTGGCCTTTACTATATACACAGACCAACTCTACCAGCACACATAGTCACTCCCTAAAGCTCACTATGAGCCAAGAAAAACTCCACTATTCATCCTTGC